CGACAAAAGGACGAAAAAATCGGACGCGATTGTAGCGAATGATGCATACGAGTGGGAAAAAAAACTGCGTTCACTTGGGTCAACCGTGCGTTGCGAAGGCGAGGGCCACCCATTTGTAAACAACCAAAATGGTCGCCAACTTAGACCATCAAAAGTATGTCTTCCTGGCCTTTTATATCTTTATTAGTCATTAATGTGTGTGATATAGAATTCATCTATCCCAGTTTCGAGCCCTTGCTATATTCTCAACCAGGAAAGTAATTCATCTCTCTTGCGATAAGTCTTAGTAGTGTCTGACATGCAAGGACAGTTTATTTCCGAAAATCAACTGATAGGTGCACTGTGCGTCGAAACCGTTCACCCCGACCGTCTTGGATTGATCAAGGCGAAAAGCACGGTGCAGAAAAAAGCTCGACTGAACGCAGGGCCGGTCAGTAAGAATTGTTCTTCGTGGTGACGTGACGATAGACACAAATTGCGTATTTATGAGATCCAATAGGTGCAATACATAATCCTGTGACAGTGAAACTCGACCTTAACAGTCAGTTGAAATTCAAATCTTGATTTGCAGGTTTGTCATCCTGGAGTTATTGCTTCAGATAAGAGATTATCCAAGACGGTATGAGTCCCTGACATTTCTCTACGCTCTATCCTGCCAGAACATATGAGGTGATTTATTAACATTCTCTCGCTTCTCAAACGAGCTAATGTTCAAAACACTTACGACTCCATATGAGAGACATTGCCGAGTTGTTTGATGCCAGTCGTAATGCTCACTGTGGAGACAAGTCACCCTTATCACCTAATATTCAGCTTCATAAATGCCTTCAGGAGTATGCAAGTAAGCCTTTTCTTCGGGTAAATTAATTAATAGGTTAGAAGAAACTCATATATGAAGCATAATAACTCAACAAACAATATGATATACAAATAAGGATGTCCTTTGCCGAACCGTGGAGGCTACAAGCCTACTAAAAATCACTCAGAAGTTTAGCTAGTCATGAACTAAGAGATTTCTGATATCATCAGGCGCAAAATTAAAATGAAAGCAATTAAATTCTATCGGCACAGTTATATATACCTTCATGTAAAAGTATTATGGAAGCAAGGAATAATCTGATGAATACTGAATAATAATTTTGCTTAATTCATTTTGCCGCACCGTGATCTCTTTATGCTTTTTGTGCAGCCTCAAAAGTAATATTTAAGCCTCATTATTTTCAGTTATAAAAGAGGTGAATGTACCGAGTGCACCTGACTTATTACATGTGTGTTTGTGATATATATATATATATATATATATATATATATATATATATATATATATATATATATATATATATATATATATATATATATATATATATATATATATATATATATATATATATATATATATATATATATGTGTGTGTGTGTGTGTGTGTGTGTATGTATATATATATATTTATAATATATATCTATATCTATATATATATATATATATATATATATATATATATATATATATATATATATATCCACACACACACATTTGTGAGTGAGTGTGTGTGCGTATGCATATGTTGTTTTGGTCAAATACCTCCCGAAATAATTCATAAGAGTGAGTGTGTGTGCGTATGCATATGTTGTTTTGGTCAAATACCTCCCGAAATAATTCATAAGAGCTTACATCAGTTAGGTGATGATCACTGATAAAAACTTTCACTGGCCAAAGTGGCCCTTACCCCTGTCTCGAACCTGGAAAAGTATCTACTGATATTATCACTGTTAAAATATGCTTGACTGACTTAACAAAGCAGACATTTGGCCTATGTTTTGTCTTATAGCTACTCATATTATATATATATTTTTAAATTCATCTTGTAACACAATTCTTCATAAATTCATCTCTTTTCTTCCATTTTTATATGATTATATTTTTGATGTTTGTTTTCATTGCAAATCTTAGTTTTTAATTTTACAAATGTTGTTTACTCAAGTTTTACAAACTTAACCTAACATAAAGAAACTATTATTAGTGAGCTTCATATTATTGCTGGCTTTGTTCAGTCAAAATGTTCCAAACGAATTTGAAAAAGTTAAAAAGTCAATACCAACTTGTCCCAAAAAGAAGCACAAGGCATGGATGACATAAGAAATACTTGAGCTAATGAACAAAAGAAGGAAAAAACAACCTCACAGAATTCAAGAAATTAGACAGGGAGATTAGAAAGAGCTTATGCTAAAAAGTCAATGTCAGGAATTGAAGAAACAGAAAAGAAAAATCCTCAACTAATGCAAAGAAAGGTAAAAGAAGCTGCTAGAAAATATAGAACTTGTTCTTCAAGCAACTGCATTGAAGCCAAAGATGGTACTATTATTATGGAAAAATAAATATTAAAAAGATGGAAAGAATATATTTGAGAACTATTTGAAGACAGCATGCCACCAGAGTATCTCATTACTTAGAGAGAAAAAAGAAAACCTGCCTGTCTTATAAGAAGAAATAACCAAAGCT